TCTCTGGAAGGCCGGGCATCGCCCATCAAACGAGGAATGTGGAGTCTGAGAGTCGTCACAATTGACGCATCTCAACTCAGACGACGAGCACTCGGCACTGCTGTGATCAGTTGCCGCACATCTCCCGCATGCCGGTCTGTTCCGACAGCTGTCTCGAGTGTGACCGAATCGAAGACACTGAAAACAACGCATGGGACTCGGGACATATGGTCGAACTTTCACGGACAGATATCCTATCATCACCTCCCTCGGCAGTTCCAGCGAGTTGAAAGTCAGAATGATACTGTGCGTGGGTGCGAGAGCGCCACTTCTCTTGGTGTAGATGCGGCGGGCGGCGGAGACCCCAAACTGTGACAGGCCTTCGGCGATCTCGTCGTTTTGCATGCCCTCCAGATCGTCGCAAAAAATGACCCCTCGGCTGGAATTTTTCGTGCGATGCGGCGAAACGCTGACCGAAAGGTTTACTTCCTTCCTGCCCTGCTGATCCTTAACTGTGTATGTGAAGTGAGTAGCTTTCAGGGCCCTTTCCGCCTCTCTATCGTCAACAAACTCTACTTCGATGCCTCCGTCTCTAAGTTTTTCACACCTCGCAATCTTACCAAATCTGTCACAGCCCTCTCGTCTCTGAAAGGGAGACAGCGACGCGAGTTTTCGTTCGTCGGATGTGAATATAAGAACTTTTGGTCGTGCTCCACCGACTGCACTAGGTGCAAGGGGTTCAGCCGAGGCTGTGGTCCGTGGGGGGATAGTCGATAGTAGAAGCGATAGTCAGTCTAAAATTAGCGAAAACCCCACACCATAAAAAGATTATGCAAATGTTATAAGCCGACGAGCGTACGAACCATGCCAGTTACCTGTTATAGCATACCTACTAAACTTACCAGCGGGTAAGGAACCGAGTCCGTAGCGCAGGCCATACTGGTTTCCCAGCCAACTAAGCACGTCCGCGTCGTTGTTCGCTTATGGGTCTATTATTGGTGTTGTGAGACATCCCTCCAAATACGGACATTTTCCAAGGCCGTTGATAAATCATCGCAATAATTACAAGCACTCAAAGTATGTACAGAACAAATATCATGCTCACATTTATTGTCACATCAAAAGCAGCGTACGAAAGGCAATACATCGAAACCTAGAAAAGTATGTATAAATAACCTTATGCTCATTCTTTGCACTTTTTTGTTGAAATTGAATAATTAAACAAAATCATTGATATATTTCGGCTTGCGCCATCTTCAGAATGTACAGAAACAATTGTCGACACCAACAAACAAAATTCGATTCCATCAATCAATAAATCGTGCAGCGCTTCAATCAGCTCCTTGATGAGAGAATAATTTCATATATACATGGCTCTCGAAATAACGATGCGCCGTCCATGATATCTACGATACATGTACAATATACAACACACAAGATCAATATACAATATACAAAATAACAACATAGAATCTGCATGAATCATCACATTGTTTGGCGCAGCCTAAATCAACGGCACAATCAGACAGTAGTTGTCACAATCAATTTGTGGATATGTACAATATAGTTATGTGGGGGTGTACGATGGACGCTGCAGAAGTGGCCAGGATGAAGTTTGGGTGTTCAAACATGGTTTTTGGTTCCTTATTTCAATTTCAACAAAAAAGTGCAAAGAATGAGCATAAGGTTATTTATACATACTTTTCTACTTATGATGATGCTCAAAGATGCCATTGCTCGCCTACAACATCGAAACCTTTCCGGGAGGTGAAATGTCATTGAATCAAGGGTATTTAAATAACATTTAATGCATTTACCTTCATGATGTTCTGCGAGGTAAAAGGGGCGCAGCGACAGCAAACGTTCACCGAAAGAATGCTGACAAGGGACACAGTTTGGGACCGACGGTTCATCCAATCGACACACAGTCTCGTCTGCCGACAGCAATCCCGCCGGGGTGGACCGGCCACCCGGGGGTCTGTACTCATGAAGCCATCATCTGCCCGGCATGTACCCACCAGGGGTCAAAGGCTGACATCTGCCACTGAAAAACAATGTCACTCCAATCGTGGCTTAAATGGGCAAAGTGCTCCCCATCGCATGAAATAATGTATGACTTTTTCGTAAAAACTCTTGTCCTGAGGGGTTGAAACTACAGTTCACCTGCAGTAAAAGTCGCATAAATCTATAAGCATGTAAAACTTATAAGCTGGGTATACTCTAAAAACTCAAACTGTAAGAGCGTCGCCACCAGCCAGCGGTTTCCATCACTCCCCATCCCGGAGAGAGGACAGCAAGGCTAAGCTCTGCAGCGGCGCCGTGACCGCCAACCCGTCAGACACCAAGTCATCGCTGCGTCTCGGCGTCTCTCCTCTCGGCGCCCATCCGTCGCCTATTCGCAAGATGAGCGGCTGGTCGTCCTAGCGAGTCCGCGGCTGCGCGTCCGAGGTCGTCCAGCCGTCCGTGGTTGTCCGTCCGTCAAGCACGGGTCCCGCCGAGTCCTGTTCCTCTGCCCCCCGTGGGCCGTGGTCGGTCTGTGCGCGGCGCGGCCGGCCGGCGGCGCGCCTCGGTCGCTGTCAGTGCACCTGGTGCGGCAGCCGCAGCCGCGCGCGCTGTCGCCGGATGTAGGCGGCGCGCTGACGCCTCTCGGCGCGCCGCTTTCGGCACTGTTTGGGCGCCACCACGGGCCGCGCCAGCGCAAACGGCTGTCGGAGCGACAGAATGGCCGTGAGTGGCGCGTGCCGGAGCTGGGCGGGCCGACGGCGCGGCCCGGCCCGGCCCGCCGCCAGGTCACCGGCGGCCGACACGCCAACAGGAGAGACACTGACCGCCCCGGCATGCAGCGAGGCGCCACACCGCGCACCATAGCACACACACATCATACACATTATGTATAGCGGCATTATGTTCAATCACAGTTTAAAACAGCGCACATTGACATTACCACATCAAGGAAATGACTGATGTGTAGTAAAAAGCACATTTAATGATTATTCCACAAGCCTAAGTATTTCAGAATTCCTAGAAATTGATTATAAAAAGACGACTATAGCGTGGCGGAACACTGTCGGCTCCGCGTCATTGGCCGATACAAGTGATAGGTGCGATTGGTGGGCAGTGTTGTGCTAGGAGTGCTCATGCGGAGTGCATCCGTATAAATGTACACAACTAGATACGTCCTGATGAGACGCATTTAGTTACCAGTAGCCTGTTCATGTGACCCTCGTGGCGAGACGACATAAGTACGAGGAACCTATTGCCAGCTATTCGGGCGCAAAGAAACATGAGTTAAAGTGCTCAAAATAAAGCAATGATTGCATAAAGGTCCGAAGTCCGGTCACGAAGGTTTCCTATCAAAGTTCGCGACGGGCGCACAGACGTCCTGAAAAAACTTTTTCCTCCAATTGAATTAAAGGGACTATCCCACCTTTAACATGGGGTTTGAGTTGAGATAGCCAAGTTTGCGGCGAGGTTCAGAAACCACTATCTATCTAGGTTGCAACCCCCGCGGCCTCTTGGTGTTGAAGAAATTCGTTCCCTTCATTTGAAAATGGGCCTTGTACAAGGCCCTATCTTCAACATGGAGCGACCGTTAGTGTGACGTCACCTCGTTTAGTCATTCTGATTTAAATGGGTTTGTTCGTTGAAAAATCGCTTAAAACTTGGTCTGAACTTTGTTGTGGTGCCTACAGAGTAAAAAGAATCAGCTTTATGACAGTAATGTGGCCTAGGGAAGGAGGTAATTTTGGGCTGTGACGTCACATATTTGAAAGTTTGTGTTTGGAATATGGGAAGCCTAAGATGTTTAATGAAAAATAAATGCCAGAACCGTGTTCCTGGTCATCCAATCTAAAAAGTCGGGCACAATTTAACTGGTTTTAACAACATTTTAGAAGGTGGGATAGTCCCTTTAAGAGTGAGTCTGATACTCAGAAGCATAATGAAGGATCAACGTAAAGAGGCAGCTCATTAAAAAGACGAATGACTGAATTTAACTGGTCTCAACTACATATGAGTTAAACTAGGAAAAAACTCACGATATACTCATTAAAACCTTTGGTCATCATGATAGTACTGAGTCGCTAACGTAATCAAACTGAATCGCTCCACGTGAAATTCGGCTATCGGTAAACAAGAATCTTGTCGCGAAAATGAGCAAAAAAGAAAAGAAAGAGTCTAATTTTCAAACCCACACACTCCACCACAATCATTCTAGTGACTTGCATACAACTCGTGTGCAACTTGCGATATTTTCAGGATATCTGAAAGATTTGCTCGCCACCGCCCCCTGAATCATGACTCGTAACTTTTTTCTTTCTTTGTTCCATTGTGTCACGTTAAAGTGCTGCCTTTTCAAAGGTCAAGAAAGATTCAAGGAAGACAGGAACAATTGAAGTGTTACATGGCGCAAAAAAAAAAACAGATAAGTTCAAAGGAAAAAACACAAAAAGTGAAAACTTTGAAGCATTTACCGATAAGGATCAAAATCATTTTAGCAGCAAAAATCGCTTAACCTCAAAGCAAAGCAAACAACAAAGCATAACCAGTAGATCGTCACTGTTTCATTTACGCTGGGCGGCCGAGCGTGTTAAAACTGCTTACGAAAAAGCTTTTTGATTGTAGTAAAACCTAAACTAAGTCTTGCTACAAAGCATGAAGCGAAAGCAAAATGTTAAGCGGAAATCCACACGGAAGGTCCACACTGACTGAGCGTCGTGGTTTCGTTGGCCACGACCAGTAACTCCAGTGTCGATCCAAGTACCGATCAAGTGGATCGGCACTTATTCGGTGCGCATCTTACCAAGTGGCGTGAATGAAATTTGGCGTCACTGACCAAAGTAATTAACGCCGGTTTCATCACCAGACGTTACCGGAACGACTTAGATACCAAAGCACACCATTTGATAAGACAGCACCCCAGGTGAGCCAATTACTCCCCACTCCGCAAAAGCATCCCTGCACTGTGCGCGTGGGTAAGCACCCCAATCCCCGCCCCACGCCGCCCTCCGGCTGCCACTGACCCTTTTTCCGAGGATGGCGCTCGACTCGTCCGAGGATCCGCTGGTCGGGTCGCGTTCCTCCAGGTTCAGCACGGACGGAGCGCCGACCGTCTGTAGGTCCTGGTACAGCTGGCTGAGCTGCTCCGTCAGGGTCTGCGGAGAGGGGGAGGCAGGGTCAGAGGAGGCAGGTCCTGGTACAGCTGACTGAGCTGCTCCGTCAGGGTCTGCGGAGAGGGTGACAGCCGCGGTCAGGATGCTACATTATGACAGATGGCTGACAGGCAGTGTCTCATGGGTACCTACACCAAACCGCGCCGGACGACTCCCAGTCGCACTTACGGCTCGCCGAGTCATCTGAATCAGTGCGAGCCGGTCCTGCTCCATAACTCACCGCGGGCTGAGTCATCTGAGTCAGAGCGAGTCTGTCCTGCTCGAGCACCTCCTGCAGGTTGCGCGGCTCCAGCTGGTACTGTTTGGTGAGCTCGCAGGTCTGACTGACGGCCACCAGCCACGGCGGGTCCTGTGTACAAACACACAGACACACAGACACAGTGTTACTGGTGACAGGCTCTGACTGACGGCCACCAGCCACGGCGGGTCCTGTGTACAAACACAAACACACAGACACAGTGTTACTGGTGACAGGTCTGACTGACGGCCACCAGCCACGGCGGATCCTGTGTACAAACACAAACACACAGACACAGTGTTACTGGTGACAGGCTCTGACTGACGGCCACCAGCCACGGCGGGTCCTGTGTACAAACACACAGACACAGTGTTACTGGTGACAGGTCTGACTGACGGCCACCAGCCACGGCGGATCCTGTGTACAAACACAGACACAGACACAGTGTTACTGGTGACAGGCTCTGACTGACGGCCAAACTACCACGATGGGTGATGCACGCTTAAGAGACACCCGTTCCGTGCTTCTATCCTCAGGATACTGAAATCCTTCTCCTCCACGCCGCAACCCCCCTCCGGGCTGGACAGGCAACTTTATCTCATGCGGGCTGCTCCCTTGGAGCGGCACCGCTGCTCCCGAGGGAGCGCACCCCGTAGCCGGGTGCAGTGAGTGCCTTGGGGCTGGGTGGTCTGTCCTCTGGGCGGGCTCAGCCCCGGCGACTCACTAGGGTGCCTGCCCAGACCAATGTCTCCCCCTATATCCTATCATCCTCCCGGCTCTGAAATGGTCTTAATGGACCGAAAGGGCCTAACCCCAAAAAAATCCCGAAATACCGTTTCACAATTCTTTCAGCTGTGTAAGCACACATGTTTTGTGAACGCTACCGATCCTGCGCTCGACCAGATAGATAGATACGAGTATATTCGGTGCCTCCACTTTCATGGGTTCTATGGCATCCACGTCATTATACAAAGACAAAGTCTTGCAGTACAAAGGTACAAAGACAGTAAAAGCCAGAACTAAAAGCCTAAAACACACCGCGTTAAAATACATCGAAATTCATTAAAATAAAATTTGAGTAAGAGTCCAGGTGACCTGCTTGCCACCCTTCAGGGGTAGCGGCGAGCGCTCGGAGTACCCACTCACCATGAGAACCGGCTTTTGTTTGGGTTCCTCCATCTGCGAGGACGACGGCCCGTAGCCCGCTGGCTGGTCCTCATCACGGACAGCGGCGGCGTGACGCGGGTGGTAACTCTGCGCAAGAAACGTGTTCATATTAGAACGGTAATATGCGTTAGGTCACGATACGGTGCTAAGCGGTAGGTCACATCACCGTTTATTACGATTATAAGCGTCATCCGAATCTACCACCCTTCACTCACTTCACATGTCGAGTATTTATTCTAAAATAAGTTTCACTCAATCAAATCAACAGCTTCGATCAAACTAGGCTTTATCAAGTATCATGCTTTGAAACTAGTGGATATCTGAAACTTGACAGTGCAATATCGGTAATGCCACTGAACTCTGAAGCATCTAAATTACCGCTGATCTTTTCCAAAAATACAGCACCGACTCATGTCTGACGAGTTAAGTAGCAATACCGCGCAGACTTACCGGCCAGCCGAAGTTGGATCCGTCTCCGACACCGTCCACGTCCCTCAGAGCCGAGGAGAGACTGCAGGGAGGGAAGGTGACGCGGTCATACAGGCCGGTGAGGCACGCGGCCACAGGGGATACGAATAAGACAACATACACAAAACTTCAGACGGCTGAACTTGAGAAACGGTACGAAGCACACACCAATGGGCACAGAGAATCCGCAGAGCGACAATCGTACCTTACACAAGCGATACCTATTCCAGAGGGGAAAACGCACAGGTTATTGGAAGAATCGTGGAGTCGCCGACGCTAGCACTGACCTGGAGTCGCTGAACGTGAGGTCACTGCCGCGCTTCTCTTTCGATAGATCCTCGTCGCTATCCAGGTTCATCTTACGGAGACTCTGTAACAGCGGGAGAGGTCGGGTCAGCGGCCGTAACACCGGGAGGAGTCAGGTCAGGGATTGCTTCACTATGAGAGACGTCAGGCCAATACAAGTGCGAACTGTGAACGGAGAGCAAGGGCTCGGTAATGCAGCATCATGGAACGTCTGACAAAGGGTGATGTAGCACGGGACGCCTGGTCGTTCAATAAGATCAACTTAAAACTCCTATTTTCTGCTGAATGGGCGGCGCGTCCTACCTCAGACGTGGTGGTGGTGCAGTCTCCGCTCTGCTCTCCCGACGACAGACCTCCCCGTGCCGACACCGACAGCGATAGGGACACGGGGCGCTTCCGGGAGGCGGCGGCAGCAGCAGCGGCGGCGGCGGCCGGGGGAGGAGCGGTGGAAAAGGCCGCCATCAGGCCGCCCATCAGCTGAGGTGGCTGGCACAGCGGGCCCAGCAGAACTGCAAACACAGACACGGATCGTTCAGTAACGGACACAGGTGGGCCCATCAGCCCACCCTTCAGAGGCGGCTGGAACAGCGGGCCCAGGCTGCAAATACAAACACAGCGAACTCGGTGATAGTGCAGTTACAGATACAACAGAGGTACGTACAGTAGCAATGCTAGACACAGTAAAGGCCCACTCATTGAGACTGACACATCGATACCGGTAACACTGCAGAATACACACAAGTCCTTGTCTTCAGATACATGCCTTGTCTTCAGATACATACCTTGTCTTCAGATACATGCCTTGTCTTCAGATACATGCCTTGTCTTCAGATACATACCTTGTCTTCAGATACATGCCATGTCTTCAGATACATGACACACAAGTTAATTACATTTCAGATGATCAAGAGCCCTACCCTGTCAACTCCCACACTGTATCCCACCACCCCTGGATCAGCCCGTACTACTCTTTTCTACCCATGGGGTTATCACTGCCTCCCTCACCGTGATGCGGCTGCGGCGGCACGGGCGGCGGCTCCACCGGCTGAAACACGGCCACGCCGTGCGGCCGGAGCGCGCCGGCCGGTCCGGCGGCGCCCAACCACTGGCTCACACCGGCCGCTCCGACACTGTAAGCAGACATAAAGACGCGGTCAGACAGCACCCACCCACTGGCTTACACCGGCCGCTCCGACTCTGTGGGTGAGAGGGAGAACATAGAGACACGGTCAGACGGCACCCACCCACTGGCTCACACCGGCCGCTCCGACACTGTGGGTGGGTGGGGGGGGGGGGGGCTGACAGAGAGACGGTCATACAGCGCCCACCCACTGGCTCACACCGGCCGCTCCGACACTGTGTGAGAGGGAGAACATAGAGACACGGTCAGACGGCAAACACCCACTGGCTCACACCGGCCGCTCCGACACTGTGTGAGAGGGAGAACATAGAGACACGGTCAGACGGCAAACACCCACTGGCTCACACCGGCCGCTCCGACACTGTGTGAGAGGGAGAACATAGAGACACGGTCAGAACATAGAGACACTGACAGTTACACGGCGCCCACCCACTGGCTTACACCGGCCGCTCCAACTCTGTGGGTGGAGGAAGACAGAGACGCGGTCATACGGCTAGGTGCGCTGCAGCCGAGAGGGGCACATAGAGGGGCTTAGTCATCTAAAACGGCCATTCGCTGCTGATCTATCAGTCAGAATATAGAACATATTTTCAGAGTGCGGTAAACACTGAACATAGTCAAAAAAGTTTCTTGGACAAGAGACCATGAAAACATCGTATATGAGAGCGACGAGCCCGCAGCGCAGAGCAAAACTGTGTAGAATAGCTTGAACAGTAATCCTCCAAAACGACAGAACAATAACGGATAAGAAGCGTGAAACGGGCAGTAATTGCTTTATTCTTTTATCATCGACAGAAAGTGTTACACTCGGATAACAGAACTTGGCCCAATGAATCACCTCCACTCCCCCAGCAGCCAGCCTCGCAACCTACCCCACACCCATGAGTTGCTTGTCGTTCCAAAGCCCACAGCGGACCATATCGCACGTACCCAGCCAGCGCTCCGGGTCCGGTCAGGCAGGCGGAGAACGGCGGCCAGAACACACTGGGCGCCGGCCAGCCGGCCGTGTTGAGCATCGCGTGCCGACGCTCCTGTTCAAACTCGTCCAGACCCTGGCGGAGCACGGGAGGGGGCACAGGGGTTACTCAGGTGTACTAACGGGGCTGTGCCGGAGCAGGGCGGAGCACGGAGGGGGCACAGGGGTTACTCAGGTGTACTAACTGGGCTGCCGGAGCAGGGCGGAGCCCGGGAGGAACACAGAGGTTACTCAGATGAAATAACAGGGCTGCTGGGGCAGGGCGGAGCACGGAAGGAGCACAGGATTACCAAGGTGCTACCGTTGGCTGGTACGGAACGTCTGAGTATCTAGCGTGACGCGGAGGGAGGGGAGACCAACGGCGAAACAACAGTGGCTTATCCATTATCTACCCCAGACACTTGATCGAGGTAATACATTTTCGTCTTGCTAGGCTGTTTGCTGTGACAGCTATGCACTCGCAAGATATTATTACTATGCCATTCAATCATATGAGCATTATACCCCCATTGCTTCCATAATCAATTTCAAGATCAATGGGAAATTTCGAATCATCGCCACTCACTGCCCAGCCAAAAAGCGAGGGACCGTACTCAGAATTGTCAGCGGTCTTACCTTCTTGGGTTCGCTGCAGCTGTTGTGTTTGATCATCTTACACTTGCTGCTGTGACAAATATGCTTCTTCGGTCCCAGAGACTGGCGCATGTTCTTTTCCATATCAGCATTGTGTCTGACCAACAGCAAAATATGGCGGGTGTCAGTGACAAACAGGCAGACAAACAAACAAACAAACAAAAAATCACATGACAGATTGCAGACCAAATAGGCAGTGGCAAAGAGACTAGAGATGTCAATCGGATACCAACTTTTTGGTATACCGATACCAAACCGATACCAACTTGGTATTTGGTATTTCAATCCTAATGTGTTTGGTATTTTGTTGGTATTATGAACCCTTACTTATGTATAAGAGGCTAAGAAATTGGTAAAAAGTTGGTATTTCCCTCATCTTTCAAAGTTGGTTCGGTTTCGGTATTCCCCCACGGTTTTGGTTGGTATTTGGTTTGGTATCGGTATTCCGATTTTCTGTAATTGACATCACTAAAAGAGACGCATAAAGACAGATGCAGACAGACAGATGGATGAATAGCAAACAGCAATACCAGCGTATCACGCTCATGGGAGCAGTGCGCACCGATTACTGGCTCTCACGCAGGGGGCGGGACCAGAGATCAGGACCGGGCGGCTCAGCCCACTCAGCCCGCTCAGCCCCAATAACTGACCTGTCGAGCACGGCCTGTGTCAGCGGCTGGTGGTGGTAGCTGGTGAGCGGCGGCGGCGGCGAGTGACGCGACCCGCCAGTCGGTACCGACACCCCGCTGGGGCCCGGCTGCGGCGAGTCCAGACTCGCTGAGGCCACCGCCGCTGCGGGTGGGTAGATACAGTCAGCTGGCGAGACTGGGGGAGTCGCAGACAGTCGGACAGGCAGACAGACAGACAATTAATTGCCAAGACTGGAAACAATCCCAAACAGACGCTGCCGAGATTGAGGACAGACGGGATATAGACAGTGTCAAGACTGGTAGGATGTTGGACATAGGCAGGCAGTTGCCAAGACTGGGGGACAGTCGAAAAGTCTCCACGGAACAGACAGGCTCAGAGAGACGCAGTCAGGTCAGCCTGTAGAGCCTGGTCGTATCATATATCAGACGAGGGGGCAGGCGAAAGTCTACCGGCGCTGGGGCAGTGGGCAGTGAGCACTTACCGGTACGTCTACCTGAGGACGGGCCAGCCACGCCAATGCTGTCATTTCTCGAGTCAGACTCGTCCGAGGAGCCAATCGCTGTTTTCGGATGAGATTCGAAAAATCTGAGGGAGAGACGAGATGATATGGTATTTGTGGTGGTATTTGAAACAGCGTTATCGACGGTATCGCGCTTAGCGTTACGGGTCCCTCACGAAAGCGAAAACGAGTCGCCCCCGGGTGGGCTCGAACCACCAACCTTTCGGTTAACAGCCGAACGCGCTAACCAATTGCGCCACGGAGGCAGCTGTGCGCCAAGCGTGTAGAAGACCAGCCGAACTTTATGGCCCCTGCGGCGTGTCCTCTGACTCCTCCAGAAGTTACTCGAATTTCAACCTCTTTACATAACCCAGGACAAAATAACTAGCTTTGCCATTAGCGTTAATTTCCCTCAGCGCACCAAACCCCGCCCTAATCCTGCGACCTGTCTTGCCCACCTGTTGATGGTCTCCTTGTAGTTGAGCTGGACGTAGTTGGGCACGCTGACTGAGATGGGCGCAGGCGAGCCGCGCTCAGACGTGTGCGGCGACACGTCACCGGGCACGGACGTGTGGTCCTGTCGGCAGACACGCAGCCTCTTTCACAGGCACCGGAACGAGCATAGACCAGCCACCGCACAATGCACAGAACGTCGCCAAACTACGATACAAACGCATCACCACCTCCCAACCTATTACAGCAGCCTTTAATCGTCAGCTGCAAGCTACTCAACAGTTGACGGCAGTAGGCAACTAAAAATCGCAACTGACATTAGTTAACCTTTTATAGTACTATAGTGTTACGAAACGCCGCGGCCTTGATTGCAACCGGTGGCTGGCCGGCGGGAGGTGTGACGTCACATCAGCTGTGGCATATGATTGGTAGGCGGCGAGTGTGACGCCATATCCCGTTGATAGCAGGGCTCACGCGTAAATTCCAAAGATCTACCTACCGGAACGTTCTCTACGTTTCTGGTGATCTATTCAAGAGATATGCAATACTATGCAACATGAAAATAGGACATATAATTCGTGGTTCCTGAGGTTATTTATCGACTTCCGTGTTACAAATAAACGTCGCGTTATTAGATCGGAGTTATGACTTATGATCGCCTGTAATCGGCAAAATTTGAATCCATTCAAGTTTCCTCTCAGATAGGGAACGCAGAATGGAAGAACCGTCAACCGACTATGCCGAACGATACTCACACGAACACACACACACAAAAAAAACACATACAATTAAAAGTGAGCGCACCGAAACAAGGCCGTTACAAACCTTATAGTCAGAGCCATCTGACGCACAGTCTCCCCTCCTGGTGCTCTCTACTCTTTTCTTTCCCGGCCCATCCCGTACCTCAAGCAGCCGTCTGCTCTCTTATCCATCTTTCCCTCACCTGATCGGGTGTGGCCGGCTGGTCGACTGTCTCCTCCCCGCTCCTTCTTTCCCCCTCCTTTACCTGATCAGGTGTAGCCGGCTCATCGACCGTTTCCTCCTTTCTGTCTCGGTCAGCTCTCTACCCTCCCTCACCTGGTCTGGCGTAGCCGGCTGGTCGACAGTTTCCTCGAGGTCGCTGATGAGACTCTCCATGAGAGCCACCAGTCGGCGGCGGCGCTGTGTCAGGTACGAGGCCTTGCTGTCGGCCGCCGGCAGCGCCTGTCGTGGAACGGCAGGAACCGTATGTCAGAAAATGATCAACAGTCATCAGACGGATACCAGTAATGCAGAACGGACATCCGTTACAACATGGAAACCCTTACAAAACGGACATCTTACGTTTCAGGAACTCATAAAACGGGCACCTGTTACAAACGGACATGTCACAAAACGGAGGCCGGTCACGAAACGGACATCCGTTACAGAACCGACAGCCACCACACAAAGCGAAAACAATCACGATACCCCATATCTCACCATATGGGTAGTCATTAACCCGACTTACTTATCATGATTCAAACTGTGAAAAACGGAATGCCCTTGCCCACTGCAAAACGACACTAATCGAAAGTAGACAACACAAAACGAACGCTACTCGATCCCACTGTCACCAAAATAACTATTGCAACGTGACAGCGACACAAACATCCTCAGATAGCGCCGGTTGCTCGTGACCCATTCAGCAGCGCTCGTGGCCATGCACAAAATTACCTTGGAGAGAATGTTCTCGATATCAACCCGGTGACTGTTCCTGAGCATCAGCTTGTCGGCACAGTCGGCTCCATCCTCCTCATCTTCGTCAAAGATGTTGAGGTTGCTCGGCGCCTGAGAAAGGGGCAGAACATGCTGAAGGTATTCAGCCCGGAGTACCGTAATATGTCATAAGGGAAGCAGCCCCCACAGCGGAAAGTTCAGTGGACAAGTTCACCGGTAAAGTTGATCGACAAACTTCGTCCGCCACCCCCGCTTTCAGTCAACTACAACGAAGAAACATTATTCAATGGCGTAACTGCCGGTTTCCGACCTCAAAGCCACTACCTCCCACGTCCTACCTTGATGACTCTGTGTTTGCAGATGACTGCCTCGATGCGGTTGGACCAGGGGTTGACGAAGCAGCTCCAGTCGGTTTCCATGCCGACGTAGCAGCCGTTATGGGCCCGCAGGCGGTACGGGCGACTACGGAACGGCGTGCCCGTACGCTGGGTCACTGAAGAGAGAGGAGGGGTGAGAGCTGAGGTCAGGTGGGGCACTCAGGAGGTCAGGTGGAATGCACAGTCTGTTGGGTCACTGAAATCATGAGTTCGGTAACGTTGGGTGGTAAAACCAACCACGGGATCACTTAAGGAAGGAAAACGTTTAGAAGGGGCGGTTTATGTTCGGTAACGTTACTAAAGCGGCAGCTCGAAAATAAAACGGACGGCAGAACCTATGAAAACAATTATAGGTTACCTAACCACCTAACTCATGCCAGCTGTTCCAGCTCACACGCCAGAGCGACCACTGACCAGTAGCCTGCGAATACTGCAGTACAGTCAGCGAGTCGAGCTGTAATAGTAGTTAAGTTACTCCTAATACAGCTGTGCCAGTCCGATGTCCGTCCGACCCTCACCTTTCCTGTAGACGTCTTTGATGGCGGGCAGGTCCTCCGGATGGAAGAGATCGACCATGCTCCGACCAACCACGTCCTGCGGCAGGAAGCCTAGAAGCGTGATACCCTGAGAGTCGTACTGGTCGACGCGGCACTGGGCAGTGTGGCGCATCGAAAAGTCCAGGTTACGGAAACCCGGGTGGACGCCCTCTGGAAATGAAGAGAGTGTGGGTCAGCGGTTAGATGGATCACCATGGGAGCGAGCCAGCCAAGGGACATACACGATTTCCGATTTCGAATTTCCTATGCACCTCGCATCTGTTTCAATGTGTTGTCAACTTAGTACACGGAACAGAAGAATAGGTAAAATAGAATTAGCTGGAAGAACACTGCATAGAAGCAGTAGCGTAGCGGTGGTTGTACTGCCGGATGCGACACTGACCTGGCGTGGACTTGTATGCCGGCTGGAGCACGTCAGCCACCACCAGGATGCACGGACCCTCGCCGCTGAGCTGGTCCAGCTTCAGGTCGTGGAACAGGATCCGCAGCTGCGCGCGCAGACACAAACACCGGGGAGGGTCAGCAGTCAGCACAGGGAGAGGCCAGCCCAGACGCTACGTATTGGACTCACTAGCAGTAGCAGCTGCGCAGATATACATTGGATCGTCCGAAGTCCGAAATGAATATCAACGGCATTCAGCTGCTCATGGCTTTCCAAATGAAACACACCAGAGCATACACTTGTTTAGAAGCATTCAACCACACCCGCTAACGATTGAACGCTGCTCTGAAGTTCCATCGCAACCACCATCGCTTCAGCTACAGAATAGAATTGCAATATTTTCAGCAAGCGTAAAGAACACCTAGAACGGTGGTTAATTGTCATTGTGACCCGTGAGACCGCCGGTAGGGATACCTGGACCACGACCACCTGGATCGGTTAGTAAATGTGACCGTGACCGTTACCGGTGACCGGTAACTCACCTGGAAGGGCCGGTAGATGTGCGAGTGGCTGACCACGTTAAAACCGACCGACTTGAGTCCGCGGTGATGGCGCAGCCGGCAGAACAGCTGACTGGAGCTAGTGGAGCCGTCTGTCGACACACAGTCCAGCGGTCAACAGGGAGTGGCCGCGGCTCGGCATTCCACAGTCACGTTTACCCCGCACGTGCCAGGGCCTCCGGCGCCGGTTCATGAAGGGTACAGTTGTGTCACCATGGGACCATCCTCACGAGGTCGGAGTCTGAACGGCGGCAACTGTTGACATTACATGACGTCATGATAGAACCGGAAAATCTGTTGATATAACCCGACAGCAGCCGTCTAATATCTCATGTGTTCTGCAAAGGCCAGTGCACGGTGCGTACAAGGAAGTGGGCTCACTGGGGCCTCTCTGGCCTAATAAACAGGTTCTCCTGCACTGAACACAGCACAAAGACCGACGGTAGCTCATCCATCAACACGGGGTAGCCGTACCATGAAGTGTTGGTACAGGGAAGCGGTACTACGGGAAGCATTGCCGTCATGGACGAGCCGTATCGAATATGAAGGCACTGTACCACAGAACAGAAAAGCGATGCTACTGACCAGCGTCCAGCAGTGCCTACCCCTGATGATAGTACCAGGTCCTGGTCGTAGCGTTACAGTGTGTAATGCTAACCAGAAAGGGCAGTCACCACACTCTCAGCACACCCACAGCACTCTGCCAGCGGTGGCGCCCACCTTTGTTGCTGATGAGGCCATCCACGTCGACTCCCATGTCGTTGATGGTGTTGGTGAAGGAGGCGCGGTCCCGCGGGTAGATGTAGTCGATGAAGCTGCGACCCACCCACATGTCTGGTGGGTAGCCTAGCAGCTCGGCCATGCTGCCGGAGGTGCGCACCACAGTGCCCTTGCGCAGGCTGACCAGCACCTCCAGACGCTGTCAGCGAGGGGCGGGGAGGGTCAGCACTCAGCAGCGCTCAAAATGAGCAACTGTAGTTTAAGCTCCTGCAGCTATGGACCATTTTATTTTGAACATTACTTCACAGCGTAAAAATGCATGATTTCACCGCTTCCTTCAAGTCATTTATGAGATTCAAAACGTCAGAAAATAATCATTTTTCCTTCCCTGTCGAGTGTCGACATAACAAAGCTAATGATTATGAATAATATCGTAGACCATGCGCTATAAAATTCATCCCCGTCAGCGAATTATAAAATGATGACGCTGTCAGAATCTGCTCACCGCTGGCGGCTCGCTGTCCTCGGCCGACGCTCCGGCGCTGTCCTCCTTCTCAGCAGAGGAGGCCGGTACCGAGGAGCTCACCTCGCCCACACGCGCTGCACATAAACACAAAAAGACCAAGTTTAGTTTTGAAAAATCAAATAGAAGCGAAGTTTGGTTACAGTAAGTCCATTTCTACCTAGCATTGGTGTTCGCTAAAAATGTTGACAACCGACAACTTGGTCTGTAACTAGAGCAGTCTGATGAAATATAAGAAATCAATAATATTTATCATTATCAATGTTGATCAGAAGTTCAGGATTACATATAACATGTCTTCATCTTGACATTTGATCGTTGCAGTACTGTCACGTCACGCACCTTTTTCCCACTCCAGGATTTTCCGCACGTATGACATGACATGTTGGTAGGCTCCCTTCTGTAGCGCCGCCTGGCAACAGACATTGCAGACGAGGTCATCGGTCCACCCCGTCCTGGATATAGGTCAACAGACACTACCGACCACCCAGTGAGACGTACCTCAGCTCGTGAGAGTGAGATCACGTCGGTAAACATTGGAGCAGACACTTCAGACTCTGAATGGGAACATTAAATCGACCGAAAATATTTACCACATGACAACAAGAAGGGAGTTATCGAATATGGTTTTAAATGCATTAATAGACTGAATGTACCGAGCCGGATGTTTAATGCTTACATTAACGAACAGAAGGCAATTTATGGAAATTGATGCAAATTATAACCAGTATAACGCCTTTTGGGGCGACTAACGGAGCGAGCGAGAGGGTGAGCCTTGCACGTGCGAAATTTCGAGGGGGTACCTCCAGCTGACTTGTGCACGGCACCCTACTAACCGGTCTCTAGCGATGTGCCAAATTTGAGCACAATCGGCCCAGCCGTTCTCGAGATCTGGAAGCGGCACCCTGCACGTGCGCACGTGCAAAATGGGTCCCAACTGACTTTTGCACTGCACCCTACTAACCGGTCCCTAACCATGTACCAAATTTGAGCGCCATCGGTCCAGCCGTTCTCGAGATCTGGAATCGACCCCTGCACGTGCGCACGTGCAGCAGCACCCCAACTCTGGCACATGGATATGCATTGCCTAGTGGGTGCCTAGCTACATGCCAACTTTCAGCGCAATCGGCCAAGTAGTTACCGAGATATTGCAACAATTACAAAAGTGACACCTCTTCGTTTTGCACGTGGCACGTGCATAAGGGGTCACCCACATGCATCGGGAATAGTCCAATACTTGGTAGAAGGAATGAAGCTACCCTACAAAAATTACCGCGTGTAAATCGGTCAAGTGGTTGCTGAGATATAAGCGTCGCAAAAGCGTGACCACGGCCGGCCGGCCGCTCATACTCAGAAATTTCCGTTAATCTAAGGAAAGACTACGCTCGCTTCGCTCGCTCCGTAATCAACTTATGTAGGTGCTAAGTGCATCGTTATCTTTCTGGTCTCCTTTTAGATACGTTATATGTAGCAACACTGGCGCTTCCAAGTCTATGCTAACTGCATTATAATTGTGTTCACAAACCTCCGGCACGTTTGAAGTCACAAACGCTCACCAATCACCACACCCTGGCTCGCGGAGCGGCCGTCCGGACACGCTCTTCCCCAGCTCACCTGGAAAGAATCTTCAACGCTCTTATCCTCTGAGGGCGTGAGGCCCGAGTCGGCGGCCGCTCCGCTCAGCTGCCTGGCGGCCTTGGTGCCCGCGGGCGCCGGGTGACCGGTCGGGGCGCTGGGCGCCGCGCCCGGGGCCAGCGCCAGCCGGCCGCTGCTGCAGGAAGCGCAGACACAGGAGAGGCGTCAGACCGACAGTCGACACCGGGATAACGGGGGACGGGTTGAAAACAGAAATGAATGGAATTGTATACCTATGCGCATTGCGCATACAGGACCATCTACACATCCCGTGCAGGAAAAGGCATAACCGGGTGTCCCCTGCCGGGGTCCAACCGTCCAAGCCATCCCGGTGTAGATTTGAAGAAAAGCTGTGCTTTAGTGACGCCAGAAATAAATTGACGATGTCTTGGACTCTTGGTTAGCCTGTGTCGGCAATGGATGCGTGACACTGCGCATGGGAATACAGCTCGCACGTGATAAAACGGCTAAGCAAACAGTTTTTGAACTCGAAGTACTGTGTCCTTAGTTCGAAATTCACAATACCATATGCCTTTAGATATATCGGCATTCCTTAGGCTTCATATAGCTTCGCTAGTATAATAAATATCTGGCACGAGCAATTAATGTAATAACCAATCTCCGACAAACATGTTACGTGCACGTTTTCTTGGCACCCGTGACCGGACGTGACTCGAGCATTGCCATGGCGCTATCTTCACGAGCTCCAGAATTTTCCATTGAAAATGGAGCGCTGCTGTAATAAACGGCCTCAACGAACCTGACAGCTTAGTGTGTTACGTAAGAGGTGAACTGACGAGTGGCGAGCTTGGTATCCTGTCGGCTGTCGGTTCTGTATGAATGACGCAATTCGCCGTATGAACGGATATAACATTAACACTCTACGGTTAACTGGAGCTTTACCAGGGTAGAATATCACCTATACAGCCTTTGTACATCGATATCCCTAACATTAACTGTAACATTATGCGACGCAGAGGCGTAGATATTAATTTCATCGACTGAAATTCGAGTGGCCAGGAGCGAGCAGCCCGGGAGTAGCAATTACACATAATCATTGGCAATGCCTACGTAAAGAAATATTTTTATTAGGTATCTAATAAATTATATTAAAACGACTTCAGTGGGTAGGATTCCGAGATGATAAACTACGCTACGAAGAAATTCTTGAGCATCTCATCTTATCGTAAACATGATCTGTATTGCCCGAACGGGACGCGAAATTGCACCTGTAACTGTGGATAACTGAGATACTTCCTAAACGTGACAGTGTGAAACAGGACGAGAAAGCTGATGATAATATGGCAACTGACTAACAGTTTTGAGGAATCATTATATGCGCATGTAGGACGTACCTAGGTATCTGGGCATACATTACATAATACATTCCTGGGCACACATATATGACATAGGTATCTGGGCATACATTGTATAATGGGCATACATTACATATTGCATTCCACATATTTTGTTCTTATCTATTCGTGAGCAACCATTCATCAATTGGCGTATCACTTGCAAAACCATACGGAACAAACGCTACAAAATAGGCTCATAGAATCGAGCCGCGAATGTGAAATAACTTCCAATGTTCGTACTGGGCGATCGTTTGATCAGTGAGCAGTTCAAATTACCTGGAGCACAAATGTTAGAGGTATGCGCTTGGTGTTTGGCCTCACCATATGAGTAGGTAGCAATGATCTCGAAAACGGGACCTCTTCGTGCCCGGTATATAAGTTCAACGAGACACTGTGCGCACGTATCCTCTACCATATCATGCTCACGGAAAATATGTCATAGACATTGAAAAGCAACGTCCTTTAGGTGGATTTCGATGAGATGCGTGCATACGCAAAACGGATGACGCAAGTCGGAGGCATATCAGAGTCACTTTCCATTAAGATTGCTCAACATCGACGCATTTACGTCGTGTGCGCTTATGTCGCAGAAACGCAGAAGCTTCGTCTTCTTTACACCAGCACGTGTCAGACGAATATGGCGTGATTCCGCCCTATCATTGAAATATGTGCATGACGAGTATACTGCGAGCATATGCCAGATGGAAAACTACTTTATCGTGTTTACTGTGTTCAGTAGCATAGTTTTTTTTTTTGTTCGGAACTTACCTTGTCTCACTGCCACTGGAGCGATGACTCTCCTCGCCAGAGAAACAGCCGCGGCTAAACGAGCTGTTTGTACTGCTGCAAAACACACGAGGGGGAACGACGGTGTCACAATTATACAGAGCACCGTTATGAGCTGTTTGTAGGTACTGACGAAATACACTGGTAGAAAGATGGTGACAGTACGTGATTTAGCCTCTATGTCCATAGATCACCGTCACCAGGCTACATCAAATCGGGAGAGATTGCAAGCCGATGGCTTATTGCAAGATTGTCACGGACACATTCGCATTAGTATGCGCTGAGACGCAGTGGTACCAGCGGCTGGTACCACTGCGTCTGCGTTCGTCTAATCGAATCGCGTTGAATAAAAAAAAACTGTCGTTTTGGAAATTAAATGGTCAATGCCGGGTCAGAACAATTTACTTCATTAAAATAATGAGATTATATGTCTTACTATCGCTTCCGACGCTTATACTGTACATTGGCGCACCCTGAATTGAAAACCAATTAGCTTTAACTCATAAAAAGTCATCGTGAAAAACGGTACCGATCACTAATGATCTTTGTGATGCGGAATGCCGTCACAAATCAATTTCGTTACTAGTAAAAATGTATCGTTAGTCAAGACAAGAGCAGATCATATTATTCTATAAAGATCATTAACAATTATCATTATCATCAGGTATGGTAGTCATAAGTGCAAATATTTAAAGTTTGCAAAAAACCTGGTAGCCGATTGAATGATCACCTTGCAGAATTTCGGAGAGAAGCTAGTAACTCCCATGTCCTAGTAACTGGTTGCCCACTTGAAAACATGTGGTAGAAGGCTGAAGGCTGAAAAAGCTTGTCGTTAAGCTTGCGTCGCTAGCTAAAGCCAGTTGGCGAAAGGCGAGAGAACTACGTAAAACAGAGAATAGTCGCGAAAAAACGTGCAAGATCGGTAGGTACCCAAAAAGGACGGGAGGTGCCAACACATGAGCTCCGGCAACTAGCTTTTGTCGTTCGGTCTGCACTCTAAAAATGATGTGCGAACACCCATCAGGCGGAACATTCCAAATCAGGCATCGACATTTCCCAACGCCTGGCCCGAAATGCCATTGGCGGACCGTCCTTCCCCTATTGTCCCACGGCGCACCGTTACCTTCTCTGCGTGCCGGTGGAGGGTCCATAGCCGGAGTCACGGTTGGACTCGGCGCCCGCCTCTGAGCTGTCTTTGTCCGTGCTGGTGCTGGTCTGTTCCGCGCAGGTCGGCGGCTTCTCCACGGCTCCTGGCGCGTCACACATCCTGAGGAGCGGCGGCCACGGGTCACGAACGTTCGAGAACTACTCATATTTACCGTGACTGACGGGTGTCACGTCACGGTAAGCCGGTCTCCAACATCCTGAGGACCAGCGGGTACCTACGGGTCACGAACGTTCGGGAATTACTCATATTTACCGTGACTGACGGGTGTCACGTCACGGTACGTTGGCGGACGCCCACATGTAACGAACGTCACTGTCGGACGTGTCACTCACGTCACTGACGGCCAGGGTGACATATGACACCACTATCTGATATGTCACTCATTGACGCCACTAACAGCCGACGTGTCACGTGTATTGGCGAGACGACGGCCACACAGGCTTCACATCACAATGCCCCCAATAGAGAACTGGAACCCAGCAAATGATATCAAATGGGTTGCTGAGCAAATAATAGACTTGCGTCACAAGGTCACCATAGATAAAACATAGTAGGTGGTTAAAACTGAGAGTATGGGTCATAAAAATGTCATGTTATTGTTCGGCTTACAATATTCCTTTAATTTATACTTTTTGCCCTGGGTTTTAAGCATACAGCTTAATTATCTTTCAAAAGCAGTTTGACAAGATGTGTGGCAACAGAAGCATTACTAAAGAGGAGAAAGCTGAACACATCTATGATCTGAGGTAATACGAATAACATAGGTAACAATGCCAAATGCAAGGTAGCACTTGCTGTCATCCATTTCTTTTAAATGAGCTGATTTTCATGAAATTTTAAAAAAACATTTGGTCTTACTTATTCATGCCACCAGAAATTGCTGTCAGAACAATATTTGCTAGTTTGTAAAAACTTCACTGTAACCTGAAGTTGCCCTAATATCCAGGTAACTTAATTGGAGACCAAAACAAACAAATATCTCTGAATGAATGCATGGAATCATGGGTTGATTGATCAATATGCACACAGTTGGTGTACCATTGTGCTTATAAAAAAAATGCAAAGCAGGCTCAAGAGCAACAACAAATGCAACTACACTAGAAACTATGTAGCTGCAGGGAACAGCTACAATGAATTACACCTTTCTTTGACACAGCTGAATCATTAATAGCTTGTTCTGTTCTTCAAAATGGTGTTAGCATCTGTTATTTTAATTTAATTTTTCCTGAACTCTACATATTTCCTTTTTAACTGTTGCTTTTCTGAAGCAATCAAGTGTGCAATAGGTAGGTACTTTGTAAAATCCTTTGCCATACCTAACAACAATGTCGTTTTGTCTTCTAGTTGTGTCTTGCCTCGTCTTGTGAATGGAACACTCATCAGCAACTCATCTACCTAGGTACCTACCTTGTCCTTATCAATATCAATATTTTAGAGCCAGGCACATTTTGACAAGTTCAATAATTATTGCATGCATTGGTAGGAAGCAGTCAACTATTTTCCTTCTGTATAATCATCAGCATCACCATAGTCCACAATGCTGCTTTAGTGAGATGAATGATCCATTGATCTGCCTGCCATTCAATGCACTTGCAGTGACTGACAATTCAAAGCAGCAAAATAGCTGGATGCCGGTGAAAACAGGGCGTTGGAGGGCATATTGAGTCATGTGACTATTAAGAACTTCTCCCCCTCTAAACACCTTCTACATTGACATGCTGGACGTCATGTGGTTTATGCGAGTGAATTTCAAGAGCCTTGATCAAATTGCCCCAGGGCCCAGGCGCCCTGTTTTCACCGTCATCCAGATAGCTAAGTGAAGTCCAACCTTCAAGTTTCAGCTGCCTCCAATTCCTAGTTTTAAATAAACATTGGCACCTAATGTGTTGATGAAGTGATGCACTGCTCCACCATGTCAATGTTGATGAATGATGTGCAATCCCAATCCAACATAATGCCTGATAATGAATCCATTTCGATGAAAACATCACTGAACCTGAATGCACATCAACATAATGCCTTAGTCATGGATGTAGCCCCAGCCGAAAACTTACCTGATATGGTGTTACTCGAAAATGAAAATGAAATAATCAATATGCACTACCCAGGAGGCAAAAGTGCCATTTCCAATAAATTTTAGTACCTACTGACACTGGAACCGGAACCCCAGCTATGGAACTTGTGAGGCTTCCAACACAAACTTCCAGGCCTCAACAGTTTACTTGCATCACAGAACTAGCACAGCAGTATTCCTTCCACAAACTACCCAACCGAAAGTTTACTGCACAACCAGCAAATGCGCAAATCCAATCGCAGGTAAAGCGAAATGTACGTTTCGCAGGCGGTCACGTTGACACGGACATCAAACATGTGAATTTCTGAGAATACGTTCGTTCTAGTTTGCCAATAGTTATTCACATTAAATTTTTCATTAGGGAGTAGCGTTGCTGTCACAATTTAAGCAAAGCTTTAAAATAAACAATAAATGATATTTTTCTCCAACATCCTTTTGAACTTTGCGATAAGCAAAAATTAAAATAAAACGCAAAACATACATGACGAACCCACCCCTACTTATAACTGTGCCAACCCCTGCAGGTGGCGCTAGCATACATCTTCAGCTGATACAGGTGACGCCAGCAGCGCTAATAAACGCTCGGCAAGGGCTCATCCGATCCCATTGTTACAACTCACAATCTTCAATCACAATTGACAGGCCCCAATCCCATATCTTAATAAGTTCCTTAGACACCTATTCAAGTGATTAGACGGCCTAGGGTGAAACTGTACTTGTTGGACCGTGCAACAGATCCATGCCATTGCCGTTAATGTTATTGCCGCACGGTATATCTCCAGTGGCCCTGCCCCTAACGTCTACCTACTGCAGCGCCTTGCTCAGTCCAATGGGACTGTAAGTGGTTCGCTTCCGCCTCCCGACTGCATCAGAGGCGGATCCAGCTCAGAGGTTTGGGGGGGCAAACCATAAAAATTTATCGATTCTTTCCATGCATCGTCCATAGGCGTAATGTTAAAATCATGCCGTTTGGGGGGGGGGGGCAAATGCCCATTTTGCCCCCCCCCCTGGATCCGCCACTGGACTGCATTGCCGCTACCGTTGTTCTTATCTTAACGACCTAATGTTGCCACGGCTGGCCTGACCCTGCTGACGGCGGTCACCTGTCGAACCCTTCAGCCCCGGAACGTGCCGTTGTCCCCTTTGTCTCCGACCGGGTCGGCACGAGTGGCTCCGAGCCGAGGACCTGTGGTCGGGGCTTGAATGGCGAGCGGCTGATGGCAGTTCCTATCAGCGAGCTGCCGCTTCAGGGCTCTTCTCTCTCTCTCTCTCTCTCTCTCTCTCTCTCTCTCTCTCTCTCCTCTCTCTCTCTTTCTCTCTCTCTCTCTCTCTCTCCTCCTCTCTCTCTCCTCTCTCTCTCTTCTCGTTTTCCACTCTCTCTCTCTCTCTCTCTTCTCTTCTCTCTT